CCCCAAAACCCCAAAACCCCAAAACCCCATATTATAAATAAAATATTGAGAATGAGGAACCAGGATATTGCTGAATTCCTAGGACAGGAGTTCTCTTCAGAAGATAATCCCCTATCTGATCCAGTGCAGACTGAGAATAATAATGAAGAGACTGGCTTCAACTCCCTCTGGGAGTTGAAGCAGCAAAGTCTCATCAAAACTATTCTAGATCAGGTGCAGATAATGATAGAGGATAATAATAAGGATAAAACCCAAGAAATCGATAATGTGGTATTGGTAACAAATTTTAGTAATTTGACTAGAAACAAGTTGAAGTATACCATGCATCAAGGGATTTTCTTGACTCACATCGACTTAAAGGTGATTTCAGGGTTGATTTTTAGAGAGAATTAACAGAGAACTGGGCCAAATTGCAATTGATCATGATAAAATGAAAACTAAATTTAATGAGCTATCATTAGTTCATAATAAAGTCAAATAACCTGAGTTCAAGAATCGGGCCTATAGAGAGTTTTATTAAGTAAAATTTTATCTTAAAATTGCAGGTCAAAGACAGGCGATACTTTTACTAAAGATCCAACAGCTTTAAAATACACAAACGAAGAGATATCAAAAAGACTAAGAGACTTAGAATCTTCTTATAACCAAGAAATAACAAAAATAAATACCTTAATAAAGCAGCAGAAACATGAATTTAGCGGATTTCAAAAATGTTTTAGAGAGTTTATCTCCCAATCCTCCCTAGAACTCTCCAAAATCCCAATCCTGAACCTCAAAAACCCCGAAACAGAAGACATCAACAGAAGGTATCTCCACCCCCTAACACAAATCCAGCTTAACCCAACCAAACGCTACCAGCCACTTCAGCTCAAAAATCCTCACTCCCAACACAAAATCCCAAAAAATCACCCTCACCTCCAAAAGAGACTGCTCCGTCAAGGCCAGGTACTACACCACAAATCTCTCCACCAGTAAAACCATCGACAACACAGCACCCTCTTCCTAACCCCCACCTCCCCACGAACAAAATCTCTAAAAGTATTAACAAATTTGACCTCACCAAGGTCACAAGTGACTACAAAATCCAGATGCCTTCTTCTAAATCCAAGTAAGTTTAGGTACTAATTCTTAAGGATTCTTGAGAAAATGCTTCCTAGTCAGACAATGCTTGCTGGGGTGAGTCTTCAGTGGGGTTTTGGGGATTTTGAGGGAGAGAATGGGGTGTTTAGGGGGAGAGATGGGGGAGAAGTGGGGTTTTGGGGGAATGGGGATTGGAGATGATAGGGATTGTAGGGGAGAAGTGGGGGGATTTAGGTATTGGGGCTTGAATGATGGAGAAGGAGAGTTAGAGTTTGTAAGGGGGGGTGAGATAAAGTATTAGAGGGTTTATATGAGATTTGTCATTTTTGGAAAGTGTTAGTTGAATGTTTTATAGTTGTGTAATGTTAATTATTCCAAATCGAATAATTACAGTGATTTTATGAACTCAATGATATCGAAGGTGAACATTTCAGGTAAATAGGATAGAGTGAGAGTTTTAGAGATGCAGAATGTATCACCTATTTCAGACAGGGCTAGACCAGCAAAGAAGATAGCACCCAAACACAGAGTAACCAAAAGTGATTTCTTTGAAAACTCCCATAAAAAAGGCTACCATGGCATAAAACTCCGAAAACTCAAAATCAAAGAAGGAAAATAACCCTCCTGTTCAACCCACATTCCAAAAGTAGGGGTTTTGGGGTTTTGGGGTTTTGGGG